ATTTAGTCCATGTTTTTAGAATTGAATTGTCAATATTAATTGTAACAATAAGAAAGAATATCAACAAGTAAGATTTTTAAAAATCAACTGCAGGGGCATCCAGGGGGCTACCTATCATGTAACATGTATGCTACAGCATGGCAGCGTGAGTTGCCTGTGCACCACGTAGCTCCCAAGATAAAGAGTGTGAGTTACATATGCATCATGAGGCCTCAGGCTCAAAACTATTATGAATTAAATACAACTCACATAGCAGTTAATGTGATATGTATCATAATTTTGTTAGATCATTAGTCAACAATTATATTAGGATGACTATAAACGCTATTCACAGCTGAGCCATTTTGTGTGCTATGATTATTTTTGTTTCTGCACAATGTTATTTTTCTAGTTGATAATTCTTTTTTTAAAAATTTGCTTAAGTTTTAAATTACATAACAATAATTCATTCCAAAGTGTCTCAAAGTTATGTGTATCCTCTCAAAACATTCAGGCACATTAAGGATCCTGTTAAGAATTCTTAAAGAAATCTTGGAGCTTTCTGAGCTACTCCAGTCTGGACTGGTTGTTATCTGGGCCTGCTGCACAGCTATAGACTTAAAATTTTCTGTCAGTATCATTCTAGGTACTCCCTTTAACTCCCTCTTGTGTCTGAGCCCACGTTGTCATCTTTTTTTATTTATTTTCTCAGTTTGGTATGAACCCATTTCCAATAGTTTATAGAAACTTTTTAATTTTCAAGCTTTTTTCCTTTTTCTTCTTAGCATTCTGTTCTTGTTTTATGTGTGAAATATTTTATTTTTTTTCAAGAATTTTTTTTCTAGCTTTTCTTTAAATTTTTTTCCTTTTGATCTGGTCAGATTCTTTAGAGCTCTGTTTTTCAATCTGCAGGTCTAGACCTGTTAGTGGATATTGGAATCAAGTAAGTGGTCATGAGGAACATTTCTTTTTTAAGTGGAATAGAGCAGTAGATAGCATAATGCCTTGCCCATAGTATTGGTAAGAATTTTTTCACGAAACTTTGTTTCTGGTATGTATTCATATCTGTGCATTTTGGTCATGATATCAAATGTATTTCTTAGTGTGAATTTTGGTCAAAAAGTTTGAAAACCATTACTCCAGAGAAAACTGCCTCTTCTCATTTCATGCCAAGAGGGTGTTTCTGGTTGTTGACTTCTGAGAGCTGAGTGGAAAAAGAAGACTGGGGTTTTTAACATTAGGTTTGTAAATTTTTACTTAATTCCCCAGTTTTCAGTATAGTATGTCTGCCTTAGACTGTGCTTGGTGACCCCCAATCCAGAGACCCTATTTTTTACCTTCTCCAGAGATTAAACCCGGAATCTTCTGCAGGAGTGGGGGTGAGGGCAGTCATCTAGCTTTACAGCATAAGGGAGGGGATCAGAGAATCTGTTTTTTAAGCAGATGTCGAAATACCTTGCAATTTTTAGCTTCTCCTTCATTTCCATTTCCAAAGGTCCTTGTTGCCACCTTTTCTTTTTTGGGGGTCCTGTTATACAAATCAGCTTGTCTTTTTTGTTTGTTTGTTTGTTTGTTTGTTTTAAGAGACATGGTCTTACTCTGTCACCCATATTGCAGTGCAGTGGCACAGCCTCGAATTCCTGGACTCAAGCGATCTTCCCACCTCAGCTTCTCAAGTAGCTGGGACTACAGGCACGCGCCACTGCACCTAGCTAATTTTTAAAAATTTTTTTTTTTTTTTTTTGTAGAAACAGGGTCTCATTATGTTGTCCAGGCTGCTCTCGAACTCCTGACCTCAAGCGATCTTTGCACTTTGGTCTCCCAATGTGCTGGGATTACAGGCGTGAGCCACCATGCCTGGCCCAGGTTGTTTCTTGACCTTTAGTGCTGGTTTAGGATTTGAATTTCTCAGGTCTGCTTAAGTAAATTATCATTAACCCATCTTTTTTCTTACTTCAAAATTTTGTTGCTGTATCTTCTCCCATTCTGTTTGTTTTAGTAGAATTATGCCTGTTTTTTTTTTAAGCCCTTTAATTTTATATTAATAGACCTGAGGAAGGAGTAGAGCTACTGTATGTATTCAGTCTGCACCTTTAATTAGAAGTATTAGCACTTATTTTTTACATAAAACTTTTCAACAGTTCATCTCCTATAGTTATACAGGTATCTGTTGATTAAGAAAATACCTGACAAAAAGCTGGTATAGGGAGGAGGAGGGGCGGGTATTTGCATACACAAAGAGTGCAATGCGCACTACCCGAAGGATGGACATATTTGAAACTCGGACTTAGTGGGGGAGGGAGGGGCAAGGGCAACAGGGTAATTCTGATGGTCAATCTAGAAAGGACAGGCATTTGGGAGCCACTGCTCTAAGCACTTCCTCTTCCATCTCCTTGAAGTCCTTGTTCCATCTTTTACCCCTCCATTCTCCAGCCTTGCTATGAGCCACTTCCCCTAAGAAAAGGAAAATATCCAAGTTACATCTTTCTTTAAAAAAAAAAAGCAAAGCCATCTTTATTAACACCTCTCTCTACCTAGTGTTCTACCCATCTTTTTTGTTGAGGTATAACTTACATACAGTAAAATGCACCTATTTAAAGTATATATACAGTTTGGTGAATTTTGACAAATGTGTAACCACTGTATTGCCACCACAATCAAGATACAGAACATTTCCATCTTCCCCAAAAGTTCCCCCATACCCCTTTGTAGTCACTTCCCCCACCACTGATCACTATAGATTTGTGTTCTAGAATTTCATATAAATGGAGTCATACAATGTGTACTCTTTTGTCTTTCACCCAGCATAATGATTTTGAGATTCATCCATGTTGTATGTATCATTTATGTTACATTTTATTGCCCAGTGCTGTTTATCCATCTTATTTTTTAACCTTTATTGCTAAGTCTCTTCCAGGCAGAATCTGTATTCAGTATCTTCACTGCCTCAGCATCATTTATTCCTCAGTCACTGCTGTTTATTTCAGCTCTTACTATTTTCAGGAGACTGCTCCTTGCTAAGATAACTCCTGTTTATCAGATTTCATGGTCACTGTTTGGAATTATTTGACCTTTCTAAAGCATTCACCTCGAATTTGACAATTCTAAAATTAAAATTATTATTCCTAAAAACCATTCCCTCTTCTGATATTTCTAATTCTGGTTGATGTCACCCCCAGTGTACTTGTCATTCATATCAGAAACCTGGAAGACTTTGACTTCCCTTTTCCTTCACTAAATTGTACCTTTGCCCCCTTTTAAAAAACTCAGCAGTGCCCCTTCTCCATCTCTACTTCCAGAGCCTTTTGTTCAGATCCTCATTTTTCTCCTTCCTTGTATGTTTTCAGAGGTCTCCTATTCTTCCTGCTTCCAGCCTTGCCCTCCTCCATTTCAGTCCAT